TACAAGGTTGTTTTCTTAAAGTGTTTTATTCGGTTCAGATTACTGTTTTTCTTTGCTTTTGTCGTCTTTATTATTTCTTTGTTCCCAATAAATAAAAATGTTCAATAAACAATTAATTTACATGTGTTCCAATACTTTTCCATTTGCTTTATTTTACAAGTTTTAAGCAGGAAACGATCAAGGATTCGAAGGCCCGGGTACATCGGCTATTGACACTCGAGATGTCTCGGTAATTCCATATTTTATTTGGAAATTTGTCCTTAGCAAGAAATACTTTGATTTTAAAAAGCACTTACAGTGCAGTCTACTAAAATGAACTCTGGGGGGGGGGGGGGAAAAAAAAGGACAGTTTTCGTTTGTGCGGACTCCTGAGTTAAGAATTTGTCTTTGTCTTGAAATTTTATTAAAGATGCTACCTTTTTATCATGTTTTATTCATTTATGACTCTTTAAGTGCACATCGCTGAAACGTTCATTTTACAGGCAACTTCATCAATGAGCGCACCTTCATTATGCGGTCCAGTTGCTGATTCAGGAGTTCAGAATCCACTGCGAAGCATATCTTTAGTAAGTACAAATGAACGAGTTGTGGAAATAGCAAGCGGTTCGAACAGTCATATTCCACCTAACGGTACCGTAGTGCCGGAAAAAATTGGCAGGATGGGATTTCGGCCAAAAGTAAATCGTGAATTGGATCACCCAGGGATGTTATCCGGAATCCCACAACAGCCACCGCAGCCACCAATGACGGGAATGATGAGAGTACAGCAGCGTTTTGGCATACCACCATTTCGTGATGGTGTACCAATTATGGACAGCGGTCGTGGAGCTCCGTTTGTTGATGAACGTGGAATGCCATTTCCGAACAGCAGGGTCGTTTCGTTATATGACGATGGTCGATTACCATTTCATGAATATGAACATCCACAAGGTGATGAAGCGATTCGAATTCGGCACGTGTGGAGTACACGACCATCAATTACTCAAAGGAGGTTCTTTTTTTTTTTTTTAATGTTTTCTTACCTTGTTCTAGATTCCCATGACGCGTGGGAGAAGCTTGTTTACCCCAGGGAGGTTGCAAGCTATACTGGCAGTGGCTAGTACCAACCGAGCAGATGGAACTCGTTTAACCCTGTAAAACATCCATCTAAGACCTAAGAGAAGGATCCTTTAACAAAGTCTACGTTCTGAGACTTCACTGTTATAGTCCTGTTTGGTTAGGTTCTGGTAGATGAATCTTAGGAATAATGGCTGGGGCCATTTCCGCGTACGCTGTGTCTCACCAAGAAAAATCCAATGCGCAGGCTGGAAAGATACACCCCCATTTGTAACGTATATAGGATTTCACAGGTAGGATTCTTCCCAAATCTTCATTTGCGAGGCCTAACCATGATGCTTTAGATGTAATTGTGTGTAGCTTTGCAAATTTTTATCGCAAATAAATACGGCTGTTTCATTGAAAGAAAGAAAACGTTCCAGCTTAAAACGAAATGCTCAAGAACTAATTACATTCGTATATGATATAATCTTTTTTATTTACAGGATGTTGCAACCAGGAGTTTTTCGTGATCGAAAGATTCAACGTGCCGTAGTTGGTACGTCTGCTAGTCGGGTTTATGGAGGGGAAATGCGTGATCGTTCGCGTTCTCCACGTGGTGGTTCAAAGCCATTAGTTGCAAATAGCAGTTGCGAAATTGGTAAATATTTTTACCTATTGTCGTTTTTCTTGAAATCAATCGCAAGCAATCTTTTTTGCTTTGGTGACTCATTGTATTGGGATTTTGAATTCGTTGAAGACATTGGGCTCACATCTTATTATGTCTTAAAAAAGCGCACAATTTATATCAAGTGCTCTTTGCATTTTGTTTTAGGACCGCAGTTTTTGGTCTGATCTTCAACTGATGAGTTGGTGTGATATTTTTTAACAAACGGGGAAATGGATCTACATAAACACGAAAGAGAAATGAATGAAAGTGGAAGCAAACTGACAAAAGACTGTAGCTAGCAGTACTTTTGTCCCGTCAGATATTCGGACATTTTAGTGCTTTGTTGTTTTGCTCCGAAATTCTGGGCAGAATTTAGTAATTCATGATATAGTTATCGTTTTAGGTGCTACTACTACAACTATTGCAAATGTTAGTGCAACTCAAGCGTCATCAAACAATGATATGGAAGAAAATGTGATGTCAGTTGATGAGAACAGCGAACCAGGGACCGATAAGATCAGCCAGTGTTGAAAATTCTGTCACTTTTGTGCCACTTTGTTCACTTTTTATTTTATTTTGATGTCATAAAAAATTTTTACGAACATCCGCCATCGTTGTGATTTAACACGTGTAAAAATAATTACCAGACATTATTCATACATAGCAAAACAGGCTGCTTTATTTATTCAAAAATATCTTTCAATTAGATGGAACAAAATAATATTGTTGGAATATTTTTTTTAAAGAGAGCTGAAATCGATAAACCTAAATAGGAGTCCAGTTAAAGTGTTCCTTATAACATGTACAAATTTTTTCCATCATGGAAGCTACAGTTAGAGGTGCCGTACTAGAGTTGTTTTACACAATCAGCTTTACGAAACGGCTAAAAAAAATCTAGTTAGTGTATCTCGGCCATTTAAGTTCATAAATTTTGTTTTTGTCCTTTGAAATTTCAGGTGAATCAATTAAACTAAAAACGGAAATGTTTCCTATACGAATAAACTGTTGAAAAATCTAAATTTAGTTTCGGTAACGTCCTTTTTCCACTCCGTCTAATACAAAAATATGAAGAAAGAAGTATATTTGTAAAACCAAAAAAAGGAAGAGGAATATTTTCGAGTTTATAAATACATGAATAAAACTAACGAGAAGTCTTTAATGAAATATTAATTGTTATCAAATTCACATTTCCTTTATTATACTATTAGCGAGATATGTGTATATTGTTTGCTGAAGTATAGATTTATCATTAAAATTGATGAATATAATAATGAAAAATGGACGAAAGATATGGTACTGAAAATTATGCGGAATATTCTGTTATTTCAAATTTAATGAATAAAGATTAGGTTTGATGAGCGCTTTAAGACTGTATAAGGAAAATGATAGGTTAAGATGTCCGGTTAATAATTATGTAAGATTTTTGTGGAAATGTAAATACTCCTAATCATAAGATCAAGATTGAGAGTTCTTGACATGGTAACTATGATGTCACCTTCAGAAGAACATTGCAGGAGGTGTCCAGTTTACTAAAATCACGGATGAAGAATTGAACCAATTTTTGGCTCCCTAACTGATGTATGTTTGTAAATTTTATAAATTTGTATTTCTTTATTATTCTTTTTTGCATTTTTTTATGTATTAATTTTACTTATCAATCTCTTACAATTATACAGCAATTAAAATGGTGACTTACATTAAAGGAATATGTTTGTTGTGTACCAAATATAGTTTCTCAATTGAAATATAATTAACATTAGCCATATTATAATCATTCATCTTGCTATTTATTAATTCTACTTCAGTAAGATTATCTGAAAATGTCGAAGAAAAAGAATGCAATTGTTGAATGTTCGAATTGCATCTGTTACGTACATGCAAAAAATTTGGATCTACATCAGGCATGATTTAATTTTATGAATTTATTGAGTTTCCTAATGGTATCAATTATAGGTTAATAAAAGTTAACTTATGCTGATGCCATTTACATTTCACATTAATTTTATGATAAGTGGATATACGTAAATATCGAAGAATCATGAACATAAACTTTGAGTTGTTTACTTTCTATTTATTTACTGAATCAAAACTATTCCTTAGTACATGCATATAATTTATTTATTTTTAAGAAGGAATGTTTGGTAACCAAAGATGATGCTGAATTTTTACTTATCTCCAGCGTGAATATCATTATGCCACACGTTGGAGCAGTTGTTACCAGTCAAATTTTAACAAATGCAGTAAGCTTTTTACCACCAGATATAATCGGTTGGGAAAAGCGGAATGCGGTATTAATGCATCCAGAAGCAATGGCTAAACTTCATATATTACCTCGTGAACCTTGTTGGTTAACAAATATTGATGCTAGTGGAAACAAGACTACTACTGTTGCGCAATGTGTAACAATTTGGCCGTGTAATGAGGTATTTACGAGTTATTTCAGAAAAAGATTCACTTATAAGCAATTCAATTTTTTCAAATTATAATTTAGAATGAATGTTGAAATTTTTTGTTACAACTGAATCAAATCCATATCTTGGTCAATGAAAACTTTTGGAAAAGAATTATTGAGGAGAATCATCAAATTTGTTATTTATAATTTTTTTAAATAATGATATGTAATAGTGGTAATACTTTGATTCGTAATTAGCTTATGTTAATAAGTAATTCATCAAGTTTAGGTCAAAGAAATGCATATTTTCTTTCAAAAAGCTCGAATTGGCGTGAAATATCGGCTGAACGTTGTGAATAACGAAAACATTAAAAAAGTTTCAACTATACAATTGCGTCCGTCATCTGGACGACATTTTTTATCAATTTATGCCAAAAGACATTTCCGGTAAGCAAATATTAAATTTTTTTTTCAAATTAACCATAATGATTATTATAATGATTGTGATTAACCTAATCTATTGCTCTGGCCTTGACGACGAAAAAGTAGAAATGTTTATGTATTTATTTATGTATTATGTGTGGTGAATGGAATAAGAGGGACTTTATGGCACGAAATGAATAGTACATTTAGTTAAACTGCCAACTTATGTATGGATAGCAAGGCATACTGTAGTGGGGTAAATATTGTTTAGATATTTCTTGATCACAATTTCATTATAGTAATGTTTCATTCAGTAAATAGGCATTACAGCAAAGTTTTACAGAAAACTCCGCTGCAAGAGTTGAGTACGAAATTGCTCAAATTAAGAGGAAACTAAGAGAAATGTGACAAAACCGTCGTATTGGGAATTAGGTTCATTGGGATTAGTCAGCAGGAATTACAAAAAAATAATCAAACTTGAAAAAGTAAATTAGTTTAGGATAAATTTTGAAAAAAAAATCAGGAAGTAGTTGAAGTTTCCCCATCATTTTCAGTGATTATATGGCGATTTATCTATCCAATGGGTATTTAGGAATCAATGTACCGGTATGCGTTTACTATTATGGACAAGAGCACTGCTTCGATATTGTATTATCAGAAGCAGAAATGTTAAAAATGCTAAAAATTTCATCTAACTTGTCAACAGTCATGTTGCTAAAGCCTAAACCAGATTGTACCTATCACGTGGTTGACGATACGGTGGCATCAACTAGTTCTTTTCCTCTCACGTTTGAACAGTTTGGTGGAGCGGAAAATGCTAAAAAAGAAATCGAGGAAATCTTGATAAAACCGTTGAAAGAGTAGGTTGATTTAATGGCTTTTTTTACGTAGCAGAGTATAGAATCTTTTTTTCTGGTTTAATTTTTTTCGGGTTGCTTATAAGTGATTTTTTTTCTTCATATGTAAGGATAACCTTGTTGAAACAGAATCAGTCCATTATGAAGCAATGAATGATAATACAGAGATTTAACACGACAAATGATATACTTAAGTAAAAAGGTTAAATTGTATCAAAATTACGAATATAAATCTGTGATTAGCACCACGGATCTCAAAACATTGGTCATAGAAACGACCAGACCAAGAAAAATTGCAAATAATTTTGGTTAACAAACCATTAAGAGCATTTATTTTAAGAAGACATTTTGGAATTAAAAAAGAAGAAATCACATTACTAGAATTATAATAAATACTCATATTAGTATTAAACGGTAAACCACAATACTTATCAGTAGTTTCTTTACCCACCATTTTCAACAAATGAAACAATTGTTGCATACAGTCCATTAATATATAAATGTATACCCTACTGTTAATTTTGCAATAAATTGCAATAAATTGCAGAAAGATTTCTTTTGGTATGAACTATGCAAAGATGTTGAAAGTTATTGTGAATCACCAAATAAATTTTTTTCAGAGGAAAAGAAGCATGCTCAGTGATATTATCAGGATATACAGGATGTGGGAAAACGTTGTTTCTACGTATAATACAAGAGTATTTGCAAGATAAAGCTCTTTGGTTATCGGGGCGAGACCTTGAAGATTTCCTTGAAAATGGCGCAATAAATTATGATCAGAAAATGGCATTATTAGTGGATAATTTCGACAATATGAAGCAGTGCAGTGAAAAATTATGCAAGTAAGTTTAACAAATATATTTCATCTGCATCCATTTTTTTTTTCTGGATTAAAAAGGTAATCAAAGGTAGATATTATCAGGTATCATGAGCTTGACAAGAATAAATTGTGATGTAAGTGTCAAAACAGACAGTGTACCTGAATTACTATCTGATTATTTGTTTTACAACATTTAGTTTTATGGATACATATACGAATTTCTTATTCGTATTGACTGTACGTAATGTCGAAGTTATTGGCTTACCACTACGAGGAAGATTTCCGTGTGAATTGGAATTGCTGGTTCCTTCACTACCGGAAAGAATAGAAATTCTACATCTATTGTTCAAAACGAAACAATTAAAGTTATCCTCAGCTCAGGAGCTGATACAAGATATTGCTCAGTGAGTCTTTTAATCGTTATTTCAGCTGTTCAAAGAGAAAGTAATTTCATTTCTCAGTTTTTATTTCGGTATTTTCAGAAAAAGTCACGGATATACAGGTGGTGATTTGAAAGCTGTTTTTCATCGTGTCTGTGCTAATTTCGAATTTACCAATAATATGAGTGAATTATTTCAACGTTTCGATGTTGCATTGAAACGCGTACATCCAACGGGTATTCGTCAGTTTGTGCTTCAGGTACCTGATGTCAACTGGGAAGACATTGGAGGAAATCGGGAATTAAAGATGAAAATTGAACAGGTAGATAATTTTATTTGCCCTTATTTGAGTATTAAATTATTAATACTTCCAACTTGCTTTTAGTAATATTTTTTGTGGTAATAATTAGAAATGTTTTCAGCAGTAAAAAAATTAAAGTTAAATAATCCCTTTAAGTATTACTTTAATTTCTTAAAATATTACTAAATCTTTTTCTGATGGGATATCATTAAATTTCTTTTATTTAGGCAGTTTTGTGGCCATATCGATATCCGGAAATTTTCAAGCGTTTCGCTTCGAAACCTCCATCAGGCATTTTATTATATGGACCACCCGGTTGTAGTAAAACTTTAATAGCACGAGCAATCGCTTCACAGTCACGCATGAACTTTTTAGCAGTAAAAGGACCAGAATTGTTCAGCAAATGGGTTGGTGAATCGGAAAGAGCTGTACGAGAGCTTTTCAGGCGAGCTCGACAGGTTTGTTGCAATATCAGTAATGCTTATTTCAACACTAAATAATTTTTACTAAAGTTTACGTTGCAGGAGTAGTTTGGCCTTAGGTTGACTGTATTATGGCAACAGTGTTTAAATGACGCATTTCCTCGGAAGCAGTACTACTCAATGTCCAGAAACTAAGCGGAGTTTAAAAAGTGAAGAGACTTGATATTCTGAATTTATGTTTTCTCATTCCCTCAGGTAGCTCCAGCTATTATCTTTTTCGATGAAATTGATGCAGTAGGTGCAAATCGAGGAGATCGAAACGAAAGTCATGTTGGTGAACGTGTACTGACACAGTTACTCACCGAACTTGGTAAAATTTTTTTTGAATTAGTCCTTAAATTGTTCGCATTTTACTTTCTTTTTCTTTATCAAAATTTCTCGTTAAAAAAATTGGAAAGAAAATCTTCAGACGGTTTGGAAGAGAAAGGTGATGTAATGGTGCTAGCAGCGACCAATCGGCCCGATAGATTAGATAGTGCATTGCTCAGGCCAGGCAGATTTAATCTCACCATTCATGTTCCATTACCGGACGAGGAGACTAGGTAATTGTTGATGTTAATTTGTTATCCTATGCAAGATTCATCGGTTAACTGGAAAAGTTATAGTTAGATTTGCAATTTATTTTGGAGAATTTATGAAGATAGAAAAAGTTGGAATTCAAGAAATTTTAGACGGTTTACTGAGGTTGATCGAAGTTCTCTTTAAAACACTTTTGGAGAAAAGTCTAATTTTTCGTCAGTTTCAGGCTTGAAATTTTGCGTATTCGATTGAATCACATGAAAGTTAATGTTGATTTGGATGTGGAAGACATCGGTAAAAGAACCAAAGGATTCTCTGGTGCCGAAGTAGTCGAACTCTGTGATCAGGCCGTACGCGAAGCATTGCTCGAAAACAGAGATGCTGACAAGCTTGAATTTCGACATTTCCAGTAAAATTTATCTGTTTTTTTCAAACACTTCTATAAAGTCTAATATACTTTTCTTATTTTCGTGTGAAATCCACACGAAATTATTAGTCTTTTAAGCTGACTAGTTTGAGAGATAGCCTAAGCTGATCCAATAATCCTAAATATAAAAGCTAAAGTTGAAATCATAGGCTTCCGTTAAATTTGCCTGTCCGATGTTTTAATGCTTCGTCATCGAGTGGCTCACTATAAATGATCGGGTACTCCTAAATGTAATAGCTAACAGCAGTTTTTCATTTGGCTTATGGCTTATGTTTTTTTCATTAACTTTTAAAGAATCGAGAGAATTTTTTTGAAAGTGTTAAGATTTTAATCTTACTTTTAATGACAAGGGAAGTCATTGAAAGTAAGATTAAAGTTATTTTCAGAAAATTTGTCTAGAATTTTAAAAATTTTTCAGTCAAGCATTGAAGGAGATTATGCCGCGAACTCCAAATTGGCTGTTGGATATTTATAAGGAATTTAAAAGAGGTGCTACATTGGATGTAATCTGAACTATTTCTATCTTCACTCTTTCATCATTTTGTTGCAAGATCTTTGTTACAGTTCCGTAGTTTTGGATTTGTTTTCCATTACTCTAATACCGGGATTATAGGAATATTCGGTGGTACACGTTTGTTGTTATTAGTTTATATTCCGGATATTGTCCGATTTCGAAAGTCTGAGTCTTAGAAAATAGACTATTCCCTTACTGTTTAATGAAATTCGATAAACAATTTTATTGAATAATTTGCAAAAAATTTTTAATCCATCTCTTTTAGCGAAACATGCTCTCGATTTTGTTTTTCGTTATTGCAGTATCGAAAACTCTAATTTGGAGAAAAGATTTTGTCTCACATTTCAAAAGTAGTTTATCATTTGTCCTTCTCTTTCTCTCCCTCTCTCTTGTTCTCCATTCTACAGATGCGAAATCTAAGGATGCTAAATGTCAGAGGGTTGGTTGCATTGAGGTGAGTTTCCGGTACTGCAATAACGGCAAATGATAGCGCTATCTTGAAAATCTCACTCTTGAAAATGGTGAATGAATCATGAAATAATATTTTTCTCGACTCATCATTTACTACTTTGTTTTTATTGATTTGTAACTTTAATACCATAATTCAGTAAAATGATCAGTAACTCAACTTTGTATGTACAAAAAAAAAAGATGCAAAAAAATGAGGTCAAAGTATATGCATTGTTGCAACAGTACAATACACGCAGATTATTTGGTGGAACATTTAATAAGGTATTTCTCCTCTTCTAATTTCAGTTTATCAATACTTATATGTATGTGAGATTAAAGTAATGATCCTGGCATGTTAGTAATATTCGCCATGGCATGTAATCAATGTTATAACTGAATATATCAAAGCAGTCGACATGTCAACGCGTCTTCATTATTTATCAGAGAAAATATTCATTCAGATAGCTGATTATGGATTACGACTGCTAATTTATTGCTTCTTTTTTTAAAGTAAGTGCTTACAGACAAGTATTAACTATTCATAACATTAGAAGCAAAAGAGAAGAAAATATAGTTCAAGAGATAACAAAATTGACATTTTATCTTTTTATGTTAAATCTTATCCAGTATTTTTCGAATTTCAAGTTTAAAAGAGGAATTTGGAAATATCTATGCTAAAAATATATTGGGGAATTTTATCAATGGAATGTTATCACCAGGAAAGTGGTCATTCATTAATGCAAATGACATAATTGGAGGAATGCTTATCAGCAGGATGGTTATCATTTAAATACATCAAATACACGACAATGAAAATATGCTAATTTTAATTCTAGAAATGAATATTATTCTATTACTAATAATTAATGGATGTCATACATTACATTTATTTTCATTTGTAATCTATTGATGATAATGTTAGGGGAAAATATAAGTGATAAGACTCGAATTATTGCCTTATCATTCTCTTTTTTTGTTTCCTTTTTCATTTTAGTTAATTATGGTAATATTAATATTATCGTTACTGATAGGAAAAGATTTATATTGTCATAAATCTGCTTTTTCAGATGAGAACGAAAAAAAAAAAGCGATAGCCAATGGTTTAATATCCGGTATATGATTACGGTATTATCAATATAATGTTATGAATCTCTTGAAGAAGACAGTATCAGCTGCTTACTTATAGATATTCATGTTGGATGATTTCCGATTACGCCTTGTACATATATCTCAACAGCTTACCTCTCCGTGGCAAAAGCCGTTTATTCAAATCTTAAACTCTGCCTGG